CATGTGACAGATGGTAGGCAGAGCTGGTACTATTTACACGAAGGGACGAGAGTGAGGACTTAAAATGTGAGCCCCAGGAGGCAGGCGCCGTGTTCTATTCATTTTTGGATTCACAAGCAAAGAGTGCTTTGCTCACAAAAGACAACGATTGCCTGCTAAAGTAAAGTCTGAAATAGAAACTAAACAGATATCTCAGGCCCCCTCTCCTTGCAATGTCTGTGGGTGGTATCTGGCCAGGAGTTATGCCATCATCACGCATCTTTTCTTCCAAGTGAGGAAATCACTTTCTCAATGATTTTCCCTCATTCTGGCAAGACAAAGATGACCACACCACCTTTATATCTGGATCCCAAAAGAGGAAAGGGATGGGCCTCGGAAGTTAGAGGCCTCCCTAAGGTACCCCAGCAGCACCTGGCTTTCACTAAGGTTTACCCCGCTTGCTCACACTCTTCTTCCTGTGGACTGAGAGGGCTGTGTGGACAAGCAAGAGAAGCATGCTCATTGCTGTGACAGCAGAGAGGGCACAGAAGCAGCCTGGGCCATCCCAGACAGACCAGCCTGGCCTCTCACTCTCATGCCTATGGGACATTTCATAGCTGTCACTGCACCAGGGCTTCCATCATGACCAAAGCAAAGAATCCTCTTCACTTTCTCAGGAGCTCTGAAAAACAGCAGTGCTTGTGCTGCCAACAGGGATTCAGCCCTAGCGATTTCTTGGAGTCAGTTTCATGGATCCGGCAAACACTGTATCTACTCACAACTAAACTCAGAATTGGCCCAATGCATGCATTGCCTATAGCCCGCACTTACTAAGCAAACCTGGGCATCTTCTTGTTCTCTCCTTGGAAGCATCTCCCCAGCTTCGTATAGTTTTCAGACCACACAGACCAGAAAATACATCATGGCAAGGCTGAAAAGGGAGACCCTTGGTTCAGATCACCCAGAGTCAGCCTCAAACTCAGGCCCTGACTCTCAGCCTAATGTCCTCGCCCTGACCCGCACTACCTGCCTGGGTTGGCACTCATAGTGCTCAGCCCCCAAGGATAAGCTGAAACTCAGGCTTGTTTCTGAAAGTCCTGAAACCTCTACCAGCCAGGTCAGGAGCTCAGCAAGTAACAGGGCTGCAGGTTTTAATCATGAAAACTACATCTCTCTTTCTTTCACTTTTTGCCAGGTCCTGTATACTGACTATCTCTTTGGACTCCACAAAACTTATCACCTCCATCTTATAGATAAAAAAAGTAAAACTCAGAAAAGTGATGTAGCATGCCCAAGATTCCACCTGGAAAGTGAACATCTTCATTTCAGGGCTCTGGATGTGGCCAGATCAGATGCTGGAGGAGGGGAAGAAGTCAGATTTTATCCAAATGACAAGAAGAAAACATCACTCATAAACCCAGCTAGTGAATATGCTACAGGCAGGGAGAAAAGAGGATCCGGAGTTGAACGCTTCTCCAGGAGAAATAATGTCTCCTGGTCAGGGCAGAACAGCTACAAGCCCAAGCCCTTCTTCTATAAGGCTACTTTGCCCACAGCAAAAGTATAGGTCAACCCAAGAGATCCAGGACAGCTGCAGAGAGATATACATGGCACCGCAGGGCAGTAATGCACATCTGGGGTCCTCACCCAGAGGTGAAGCTGAGAAGCAGGCTCTGACAGGGCCTGAGCATCCCTCTGAACCTGGCGATGAGGAGGGGCAGCTGGTCTCACATCCCACCCATGCAGGATCAACCAGGACCAGTGTCAGCCAAGATGCCCAAGGGGCTCTAAGTGACCTTAGGATACAAATGGAATCAGCCAGTCAGCTTTTGAAACATGTGGAGCTTTCCTTCTTTGCATCATAATTTTTCTCTCCAAACGCGTCAACCCGTATGGGCCAAGCTAACCTGAAAACATTTGTCCCTGTGAGAGAGCAGAACTGGAGAGATCAGAGTTCCCCGAGAGGCTGGGCAAAGCCCAGCTAGGGAAGGTTCTGCCCACACACCCTGAGCACCTACGGTGTGTCAAGCCTCAGGTGCTGGAGAGGAGTTATTAGCAAAATAGAAAGGGCCTCTGCTGTCATGAGCTGATTTTTTTAGAGGAAGGGGCACAGACGATACAGGGCTAAACAAAGACTACAGGGTGAATTCAAAGGAAGAAGTGCGTCCTAGGGGGCCGTAGCGGCCTCTCTAAGGTGGTACGGAGGTAACCTTTGGGCTGCATAAAGAGAAGGTGCTACTCTAGGAAAGCTCTGAGGAAGAGAATTCTAGGCAGAGAGAACAGCAGACATAAGGGCCCTGAGACAGGACTGAGTTGGGCATGCGGGAGGAACTGTCAGAATGTGGGCATGGCCAGCACCTGGGGCACATGGGGAATGGGAGCAAGATGTGATACAAGGGCAAAGAGGCAGGCAGGCGCGGTGAGCAGGGCGGGATCCCGAGAGCCCATCTGCTGGCTGCACCGTCAGTGCCCAGCTGAACAGAACCAGAGAGTTCAGCTGGGGTTGACAAACACATGATGGTACAGCCTGAGAGGGGCCGAGCACTGGACTGGCTTTGGGCTTGAATGAAGGACAGCCCAGTGGGGAAGACAGCCACACACACAGAACCCAAAGCCCTGTCAACACTGTCAGACTGATCATACATGTCTGGGGCTTTTCTCCCTCACAGCCTCAGAGCCAGACATCAAAGAGCATTTCACTGCAGATCCCCTACCCTAGCTTCTTGCCTTTTTGTTTGTTTTTCTTTACGTGGGCCAGAACACATGGAGAGTGAAGTTGCTAATTCTAGAAGCTTGCAGTTGCCAACGGGAGGATGAATTACTGAGGTGTTATGCTTGTTAATAGCACACTCCAAGTCTCAGGTGTTGACAGGGCTGCAGGCCACCAGGGGGGTTGTCCATTCAAGCCAAATACTTTCTAGGAACTGGCCTGGAATGCATTATGATGCTTTTGGGAAAATTAAAATGCCCTCATTCACCACCCCCACCGCACAACCCCCACAACACACACACAGATATTTAACTAGGAACAAAGGAAGAAGAGTGCTTGGCTCAGGCTGTTTTCAAAGTATTGGAGAGTCCCATGCAGCACTTCTGCAGCCTCTTGCAAACTTAAGGGAAACTACCCAGTTGTAGAGGCCCTCACAGCCTCAACACTGCAGCATCCACATGCAGGACTCAGACAGAGGCACACCGCATCTTTCTTCTGGGATGCACTCAGTAGTTACCCAGGGTTTCTCACCATGAAACACCTCCTTCCCCTTTCTGGAGGCCATATAGAGTGAACTTACTATGGCTCTGCTCCCCACAGTTAAACTGAAGATTTCCTGTTTTTAATAAAATACATGTCCAACAATTTCAATAATTAAACAATCAACAAGTATTCATTCTATGGCTGCCACTTTTCTAGGCACTTTGCGTACTAATTCAAACTGTAGAGCATGTGGAAATTACAGAAATCTACAAGGAAGGAAAAAAATTAAAATATCACCCATTAGCCTATCACCTAAGAGGCAGCAGAGTTAAAGCTGTTTTTAGCACATTCCTTTCCAGACATTTATCTATACATTTTTAATATGGTTGAGATCATACTGTCAACTTAATTTTGTATCATGACTTTTACATTTAACATTATATCATAATCACTTTCCCCAGTTAGGATTGCTGGCGTTAACCCATAGAAATTCAAGATATCCAGTTAAAATGGAATTTCATAGAAATTAACAAATAAATTTTGGTATAAATATATCCCAAATATTACATGGAATATACAGTAAAAAAAATTATTGCTTGTTTCTGCTGAATTTCAAATGTACCTGGTGTCCTGGTGTTATAGTGAACCCCAAGTTTCTCTTCAAAGAGTCAGTATGTCAGTATGTTCAGCTCTCTTATTCTTCAATTCTCTGTTTTAAAGTTTAACTTCCTTGTAATTCTAGTAAACAACCTTCTCCACTGGTTCTAATCAGTACTTCACATCTGTTCCCCTGGCTCCCAGCTCCATCCTGACTCATCCCGGTCACCTTTCCAGTCACCTGCCAGCGTCACATTCTTTGACCTAGGTCATCCCAGCTACCTGCCCTGACCCACTCGTAACCCTCCTTCCCACAAAAACACCCTGCCACTCCAGCTCAGACCCCTGCTCTCTTTAAAATAGCCAGTCGGGAGTAGTCTGGCTTGTGTGGTCTAACCCTAGCCAATAGGGGAAAGACACAGCAGTAGGGTCGACCCCCATGAGGCATAAGTACCCCTTCCCCCCTTGTCCAAGCATGCAGCCACCATTGTTCCATCTGTGAGCTGCACCCTTCTATAGAAGTACACTGCCTTGCTGAGAGGATTTATCTTTGAGTGCCATTTCTTTTGTGGCATCGAAATTTCAGTTATAACACTGGATTGTATCTGGCAACCTCTGGTTAAATATTCACAGGAGCCTACATCTCTAGACTCATCTTTGCCACCAGACCCCTTTTCTCATTCTGTTCAAACGCACAGACCTTGAACAGATCCCACTGCACCTGCCACAGGGCCTTGGCACTTGCTCTCCTTCTGCGTGGACACCTATCCCTTTGATATCTGACTCCTTTGCTAATTCCTCTCAGGGCTCTGTTCAAATGTCAACTTATCAACATGTGTCCTCTGGCCACTCTACTGAAAATAACGTTCTCCATCTCTCTTCATCCCTCATATCCTTTCTAACCAGAATAAATGCTTTGTTCACAGCATTTATTCTCACGTGTAACATGCTATATTTAATTCCTTATTGTTTGGCTCTACCTCTTAGCCTATAAGATCCCTGAGAACAAGGACTTTATCCGTTTGAGTTTCATTTATCTTTTATTTTATTGCCAAATCCTCAGTGTGTAGAACAGCACCCGGCACAACATAGGTGTGCAAGGAATATTTATTAAATGAATGGATACGTGAGTGTGCATGTATGTCTCTGGTTATTGATTCTATCCTATTTGAATCATCAGTTCCTGAACCATACTGATTTAATTATTGTGGCTTCATGACATCTGATAAACCAGCTCTCTCAGTAATCTTTTATACTTTTTCTCCTTGGTGATTTTTGACTGATTATTCTCCCACCTAAATTTAGAGGCATAAAAATGGCAAACAATTATAGATATGGTAATTTGCCATTTAGCAAATATAGCATGCACTATGCACCAGGCCTGTGCTAAGCACTTTCTATGCATTAACTATGTAATCCTCACAGCAAACCTATAAGAGAGGTGCTATATTTACTTCACTTTCCTGATGAGGAAACTGAGATTTAAATAACTTCCATAAGGTCACACAGCTGGTGAGTGGCAAGGTGGATGTCTAAACCCAGTTTGGCTTCTGAGGCCATCCTATGAAGCACCCCCCTTGCTGCCTTCTTATTCGTTTTCTTTTACTGCCATAACAAATTACCACAAGCTTAGCAGCTGTAAAACAACACGTTTATTATTTCACAGTTCTGTTAATCAGGAATCTGGGGTACAGGTTAGGTGGATCTTCTGCTCAGGCCTCACAGGCTGAAATCAAGGTGTCAGTGGGGCTACAATTCTCATCTGAGGCTGGACTTTCCTCCAAGCTCACCAGCTCCTAGGCACATGTCCCCCTAGAGCATAGCTACTAGCTGCTTCCCAAAAATCAATAGAAGCGTAATTCTCTCTGACTTTCTCTCCTGCCACCAGCCAGAGAAAATGCTCTTCTTTTAAAGGACTTACCTGATTGCAACATGCCCCCTCAAATAATCTCTGCATCAGAAGTTCAACTAACTTGGGACTTCATTTGCATCTGCACAGTACCTTCACGGCAGTGTCTAGATTCAACTGATTGAATAACCTGGTGCCATCTTTAGATTTTGGCCTATTATAGTCTTTTCATATGGGTGTTATTATTATATAGGTGTGTCAAGGCCAACAGATCAGGACACAACTGCCACTGAAAATAGTGGATTATATTCAGAGATGCTACATCGGAAGTACCAGGGGTGGTCAGGAGGCAGAGGGAGAGCGGGGCCTTAGAGCAAGAGCCTTGACTATGGCTGCTGTGGGAAGGAACGAGCAAGACAGGGAAAGCAGGGCTAGGATTGGCTACTTTAAATAATTTGACTGGAGCATAAGAACAGTCCTAGTTGTCCAGTACCTGGCCCTGGGGTGATGAGGGCAGGTGGCTAATGGCCCAGAGCGCGAGTCCAATAAAGAAGGTCATTCGGTGTGTAGACTCTGATCATGTTGGTTTACACTTGAAAAGCACCATCTCAACCACGTTGTTTATTATCTTTAGGAATTGGCTAATCTTGGGAGGAGGAATCCTTCCAGGATCAGCCAAGCCTCAGAAGTCAAAGCATACATAAAATAAAAGGCATGGTTAACACACACACAGTTGCCTCATTTGGTCAAGCTTATCCATTCCTTTCTCCCATATCCCATCTCCCATTCCCGAAAAAGAAAACAGCTCTTTGTCTTTTGGTTGACATTGTTTTAAATTTACAGAGCAACTTAAGAGGAATTGACACCTTTATGATAGTCTTTTCTTCCAGAAACATAGTATTCCTCTCTACTGATTCAAATCTTCTTTTATTACCCTCAGTAAAGTTTTGTACTTTCTTTAAATAAATTCTCACATTTTCATTACGGTTATTCCAGGTATTTTATGGGTTTTATTATTATTATGAATGACATTTTCCCCTATATTTTCTAGTATATTCTACTATATATTTGGCTATTTTTTTTATACTTTACTATATTTACTGTACTTTTACTAAATTTTCCAATTATTAGTAATCACTGAGATATCGGAACTTTATTTTTACAGCTTTATGGTACATAATTGAGATACAATAAACCATGTGAGATTGTTTCTTTGTCCTCACCACCTTATTTTATTCGCTGCAATTAGTTGCATGTGATCAAAGCACATATCTAAAGCGAGAATTTGATAAGCTTGACATATGTCTACACCTATAAAACCATCCCCACTTGAGGACAGTGACCAAATCTATTACCCCCAAAGCTTCCTCATGCCCTATAGTAATCTTTCCCTCCCAACCCTCCCACTCAATCTTAGGCAACAACTGATCTCATTTCTGTCACTACGGATTTTTGTATTATTTCATATTTTCAGCTACTAAATTGTGACAGTACTTTGCATCACTTTTCAATTTATTTGTGAGTTTTCCAGTATGCAAAAAGATCATCGATATATAATAATAATTTTATCTCCTCCTTTCAAAATTATATTATCCAATTCTAGTTCTTGCACAGTGGATCAGCAAGAATTTCCAGAATAGTGCTAAATCACCACAGTGATTTTTGTGTCCTCCCTGATTTAATCAGAATGATTCCAGTGTTTGGGTGCCTGTTAAACTGTTGGTGTTGTTTTAATGAAAAACAAGCCATTATCCAGAATGAGGTCTTGGAACACAGAGAACAAGTTCTGTCACCAGACAGCATCACTCCTTCTAATCCTGGATCCATCCTCTCACTGGTCTGGTCACCTGCCTTGTCATTTCCAGCCTGTTTTAATCATTCACCCCTCTGTGTTTGATATATATATATATATATATATATATATATATATATATTTATTAAGGCACTTCTCACAGGTATAACTAGTTTTCACCTGTGTTCCTCTATTACCAGACTATGAACTAAAGCAGAAATGTTACCTTCTTCATCTGATTGGGCAAAATATCTTGCACAAATGCAGTATTTCATAAATGTTTATTAAATTGAATGGAACTAAAGTAACATTTATCTAAAAGCATATCTCCCAAACCTGCATATATACCAGTCCCCCTTTATCCATGATTTCACCAGACGAGGTTTCAGTTACTTGCAGTCAACCAAGGTCCAAAAATATTAAATGGAAAATTCTAGAAATTCTAAGTTTTAAATCATGCATCATTCTGAGTAGCATGATGAAAATGCATGCTGTCCCTTCCTCTCCCACCCAGGACTATATTAACCCCTGCAGCCCACCCTGCTATTCCCAGATTGACTGTCACAGTATCGCAGTGCTTGTGTCCAAGTCACCCTTATTTTACTCTAAAATGGCCCAAAGTGCAAGAGTAATGATGCTGTCAATTCAGATATGCCAAAGAGAAGCTGTAAAGTGCTTCCTTTAAGTGAAAAGGTAAAAGTTCTCAACTTAATAAGGAAAGAAAAAAATCGTAGGCTGAGGTTGCAAAGATCTATAGTAAGAACAAGTCTATCTTTAAAAATGTGAAAAAGGAAAAAGAAATTCATGCTAGTTTTGCTGTCGCACCTCAAACTGCAAAAGTTTGTGCATAATAAGTGCTTAAACTTTATCATAGGTACCTATGTACTTACAAGAAAAAACATAGTATATGTAGGGTTCGGTACGACTGCAGTTTCAGGCATCCACTGGGGGTCTTAGAATGTATCATCTCCCAAGGATAAAGAGGGACTAGTGTAGATTAGAATCACCTTACTAAATTAGTTGGGGGAAGAATGCAAAAATAAATTTTATTTTTAAAAGGTTTTTAAAATATTAGTCAATGGGGGAAAAAATAAGGATACATCTTCCTAGGTTCCATCCTATATTCCTTAAATTAAAATTTCTATCCTGGAAGCCTGGAATCTGTATTCTTCATAACCTCTCAGGTGATCCTTATCCAGCCAGCCTGGTTTGAGCTAATAATAATAATCAGTCTGGAGAATTGTTGTCATAAAGTAATCCAGGAAAGCTAGGAGCAAAGCCGCTTTATATTATGAAATGCTAGTGCTAAAGGCATTGTGAAGATGTATTCTACTCCTCCATTTTTCAGCGGGTGAAACCTCTGAAAAGCAAAAAGCTTTGCCTAAAACACTTGAGGTCACCCTTCTTAGTCTCAGAAAAGAGCTGGGTCCCAGAGAATCTGTTTCCTCAGTACCACTGGTCCTCCCAGGAACTTCACCACCCTTGGCAGGAATTAATGTCCCAGGATCTTGGGGGAATCTTTATAATCCCAGCACCAGCATACAAGCCATGAGCAACAGGGACAGCTGGGAAGCATGTGGAGAGTAATTCTTTTTGGAGGGATACAATGACTATAAACCAAACCAAAATTTTCAGCCGAATGCTTGAATTTGAGTTCAGAAATAATTCAAACTCTTGAGAAAGTTGTAAACAAACATGAAGCCAGACAGCAGGTGATAATTCTCTTGGCCACATCTGTCAGTTACATTATTTATAAGATGCGAAATATATGTTGTGCATTTTTCTTCCTAGATAATTCAGTGAAAACCACAAGGCAAACAAAATAGTTCCAACCATTTGGTTTCCAACATCATCAGCCTTGCATTCCCACCTGACTCACTTCCCTAGGTCTTCCAGACATGCCGCCACAGGGAAGATTCCCAAGCACTACTTGAAGGCAAAGACCCTCAGGACAGGAGAGGGAGCTGTGGATCATCTGGTGCAGCCTCCTTTGCTGGCAGTAAGCAGCAAAGCAGTGGCTAAGCTGAGATAAGGGCAATCTTAGGTTCTAAGCAGTGCTCGTGCCACCCTTAAGATTCTATACTAAATTTTGTGCACTTTATTTCTGGGGAAAGATCTTTGGGTTTCATCAGACTTGCAAAGAAGTCCCTGCCCAGAGTGGTAAGAGTCACTTTCCGGAAGTGTAACTCCCCACAACCCCTATCCTCTCTCACTGCCTCTGCCCAGCCTCCCTCACCTATTGCCTGAATCCCACCTTCCCACTTGTCCTGCTGGCTCCAGCTGTGATCTGCTCTCCAAACAGCCCACTGTGACGCCAGTGGGCTGTTTCTAATACGCAACCTGCCTGCATCACTGCCCTGACCACAGGACCAAACCACTGGGATGAAAACCCAAACTAAGTATACCACACACGGTCCTCTACATTCTGGCCCTTTGTTGTCTTTGTGGCCTCAAAACTCACTATTTTGCTACTTTTCTCACCTAGAGTGAAGGCTGGGACCTCACTGGGGGGATTTGAACCCATAGGTTCCTGGAATCAAAGCACAAGCTCTTTGAATAACAAAACCATGTCCCATGGTAGCAAGGAAAGCCCCTTCATGTCAGTCTTGAACCCCAATATATACCCCAGCAGATGCTTTTTTTTTTTTCCTGAGGTGGAGTCTTGCTTTGTTACCCAGGTTATAGTACAGTGGTACAATCTTGGCTCGCTGCAACCTCCACCTTCCACGTTCAAGCGATTCTCCTGCCTCAACCTCCCAAGTAGCTGGGACTACAGGCACATGCCACCACACCCAGCTAATTTTTGTATTTTTAGTAGAGATGGGGTTTCACCATGTTGGCCAGGATGGTCTCAATCTCCTGACCTTGTGACCCACCCTCTCCATCCTCCCAAAGTGCTGGGGTTACAGGCATGAGCCACTGCACCCAGCCACCCAGCAGATGCTTTCTTAACCCCACTGAAGGCCCTCAGCTCTGATGGTACACACAGGCTCTGTCTAGCAATGGGAATCTGATGTGGTTCATTCTAGCACTTAGAATTCAACTGTCATGTGTTAAGCATGAAGTTTGCCCCAGCCAATGTGCCAAGTGCTCAGACATGCTAGTTTTGCTGTCACACCTGAAACTGCAAAAGTTTGTGCATAATAAGTGCTTAGTTAAACTTTATCATAGTTACCTATGGTCTCATAAGAAAAAGCATAGCATATATAGGGTTCGGTTCTATCTGCAGTTTCAGGCATCCACTGGGGGTCTTAGAATGTATCCCCAAGGATAAATGGGGACTAGTGTACATTAAATCACCTTACTAAATTACTTGGGGGGGGAAGCAAAAAGAAATTTTCTTTTTAAAAATGTTTTTAAAATATTAGTCAATGAGGAAAAAAATAAGGATACATCTTACTAGGTTACATTCTGTACTCCGTAAATTAGAACTTCTATCTTGGAAGCCTGGAATCCATAGGAATGAAGCACAGCTCTCAATTATTAGCCACCAGAAAAATCAAAACCACAGTGAGATACCACTTGACACTCACTAGGGTGACTATAATAACAGTGACAGAGAATAACCTGTGTTGGTGAGGGTGAGGAGAACCTGGGACACTGACAGTGAGAATGTAAAATGGCACTTCAGTCGCTCTGGGAAATGGTCTCGTAGTTCCTCACACAATTAAACACAGAGGTATCATATAACCCAGCAATTTCACTCCTAGCTATCCAAAAAAAAAAAAAAATGAACATGCATGTCCACACAAACACTTGCACATGAAAGTTATAGCAGCATTGTTCCCAATAAGAAAAAGTAGTAACCATGCCAATATCCAACAACTGATGAATGGATCAATCAATGCAGTGCATCGATACAATGGAATGTTATTCAGCAATGAAAAGGAATGAAGTATTGATATATGTTAGGAAGTGAAAATACCTTGCAAACATTACATTAAGTGGGAAGAAGCTAGTCATAAAAGGCTACATATCAAGTGATTCCATCTATATGAAATATCCAAAATAGTCAAATCTATAAAGATACAAAGATTAAGGGTGCCCCAGGTCTGGGGAGGGGGCAGGAGGATTATAGGTAAGCAACGGGGAGTGACTGCTAAAGAGAATGGAATTCCTTTTGGGAAAGATGAAGATATTCTAAAATTGGTTGTAATGATGGTTTCACAACTCTGAATATACTAAAGACTACTGAATTACATCCTTGAAATGAATGAATTGTAAGGCATGTAATTCTATCTGTGGTTTTAAAAACATCACCCAGCTCCCACTGTCAATGAGCTCTCAGTCTAGGCAGCCCCCAAGGGTGACTAACTTGCTTGGTTTGCCTAGGACTTTCCCAGTTTTAGCACTGAAAGCCTCACACCCAGGGAAATCTGTCCCAGGCAAACCAGGACAGTTGGTCACCCTACTGGAACTGCTACCCACCTGATCTCAGCAGGGACTTCAAGGGCAGAAGACAGCCAACTAGCCACCCACAGGCACTCTGAAGCCAGATGTAGCCATGATCTCTACACAGAGGCAAGGAGAGGCTGAGCACGTGGTCCTCTCAGGTAGGAGGGAGAAGTGACTCCTCCTGGACCTGGGCTGAACTGACCCCACAGCAGGCTGGAGTGAACTTGTAGCCAGATAGTAACACTATCCCCACCCCACAATCCCCCTTAGGTGCTGGCATAATTGAGGGCACAGGGCAGCTGGTTCCCACTCTGAGTCCTGATTTTTTAAGCTCACACAATTATTGTAATCCCACACACTGCTTCGTCATGCCCTTAGCCCTTCCTTAGAGATCTTCCCTCCCACTCTCAGCAGGCTGGGCCCAGGGCTTTCCAGGCGGCAGATCTCGGAGGCTTAATGGTGTTTGATCCTTCTAAAGTACTTGTAATCACCTCTCCTTTCTGTGATCCAATTTCAAATGTGACAAATGTAGTCCAGCCCAACCTGAGTGCCTCTAATTGCCACTAAAGGCTGACAAGGGGAAGGCTGGATAGTCTCATCAGCCGTGGAAGATAGAGCACTGGCCGGAGGTCAAGGTTCCATCCCCTGCATCCAGACAGGACTGGCCTGCACCTGAGGCCTGAACCTATTAGGACGGAGATCATTTGAAGGTTTCTCTCTCTGCCACCTTTCAGCAATGAGGCCATTTTCACAACTACTGTCAAACTGAATTGCTACAGCACCAGGTAATTCTCTCTAAATGGGCCTGGGGTATGTATTATTTATTGTGAGTCTACCAAAGGCAAAAAAATATAACAGCCATCTTTAAAATTTTAGTTTACAGTTTACACATAACAGCCAGAGTTTCTTTTCTTTTTCTTTCTTTCTTTTTTAAATTAGAGACAAGGTCTCACTCTGTCACCCAGACTGGAGTGCAATGGTGTGATCAAAGTTCACTGCAGCTTCTAACTCCTGAGCTCACTGGATTTTCCTGCCTCAGCCTCCCAAGTACCTGGGACTATAGATGCATACCACCATGCCTGGATACTTTTTCAATTTTTTGTAGAGATGGGGTCTTGCTATGTTGACCAGGCTGGCCTTGAACTCCTAGGCTTAAGTGTTCTCCCTGCCTTGGCCTCCCAAAGTGTTAGGATTGTAGGCATGAGCCACCATGTCTGGCCCTGGAATTGTTTTAAAGCATACATCAGATCCTGTTACATCCCCACTCAAAGCTCTCCACTGGCGTCCCACTACCTGTAGAACAAAATCCTGGGTTCTCTTCACAGCCCCAACCCTGGCTGTTCCTCCAGCCTTGCATCCTACCCGCTCCC